ATAATGATGGCAGATAAGAACTTAACCGACAGAAATCGTTGTTTAGGTTAACAGAATGACTTCATTAGAGGTAACGATTCCTAGTATGGTGAGTCATTTGGAGTGGGAAAACATCCAGATAATTACTTATCTTCACCTCCACCCTGCGAAAATCACAGATACATATGTTTTAAATATGCGCAAGCATTTTACTTGAATTGGATGTGCAACTGTTTTTCTGCGATTTTATTATAGCATTTCGAATGAGAGTGACGACATTTGTGGGCAATCGCAGAGATTTTCCTGTTCAAATTCTGTGAAAATTGTGCATTGTTTCTAATAAAATTACTTTTATGTGGCTAAAATGCATACTAACTTTGTAATTTAAAAGCAATCCAATCTCTTTGAGCACAGTTAGTTTCAACTATACTTAAAATATATCAATTTTTGCAGAGTCCGTTTTGTTATTCATTAATTTTTTGAATTTATGTCTTGTATTTACTTTAAATACAACTTATCCAACTTAGGTTTCAAAAGCCGTTTTACTAAACTAGGTATCTACGCGCACGGAAAGGATAGGTTTATCCGTGTGATCATTTGTCAGAGAATGGAAGTCGTTGAGCCCCTTGCTGTGAAACAAGTGCCTATGAAAGAATCCGAAGCGTCGAATTGTGAAACGCGTGATTTTGAAGTAGTCGATATTTTGGGTAACGGATTGGTTACAAAGAAGGTGCGTTTATAGCTCTGTCAATTTTACTTCACTTGTACTCCGAAATCTTTTTTTTTACATGTGACAGAGTTAGAGTGCGTCATATGACTATCAGTCACATTTAGGAATCAAAAATTAAAATCTAGAGGGGCTTATCCTAGATTATGAAAATGATTCCAGTAAAGATTTGTTCTCCCGGATCGACATGTTCACAATTTGTTGCGTATTTAACCGAAGCGTTCTCTGTGTCTTCCACTGATCTTTCGTACTGTAATCGTCAATTTTACAACTATCAGAATTTCCACAATGCAAATCGTGAGGCATCGTCCTATCCCCCCTGTTGCTGTACAAATTTCGATATCTCGATCAGACATCTTGGATAAAGGTATATAAGACTTTGAATTTGTTTCTAAGGTCATCGAAAAAGGCTTAGGGCAAGACAGTCGCCCAAACTATGGTGACTCCGCGGTGATAAGTTACAAAGGATGGCTCGAAGACGGGTCGCTCGTGGAGGAAGCAGAACACCTGGCCATCGTCATCGGAGATGGCGAGTGTATACACGGTGGGTTCAAGCCTACCTGTTTATTGGAATTTTTAACTAAATAGCTTTTGACCTTGCTCTCCCCCTTGCCGAACTGAAGGAATTATTTGAACTCAAAACCGATTCTCGTTTTGCATATGGCGATCTAGGAAAGTAAGTATGCAAGGCAAATGCCGATTTCAAGTGGTAATTAACGTTTCGACCAATACAATTCTCTTCAATTGCCTCATTACAGAGAACCATTCATTCCATGTAAGGCACAGTTAACATACCATGTAACATTGGAGGAGTGCGGAGACCCTCCATGCTATGAAAAGATGCCAAAGGAACAGCGGTTTCAGATTTCTGACAGAAAGCGGGAACGAGGAAACTTTTACTTTCGGTAAACACCTTTGTTCCATTCTTGCAAGCACGGCTTTTACAATTTGATAAACTTCATGCACTGATACCACCAACTGTTTAATTTGCGAACTTAAGGCATTTCCCCGAAATATGCGGTATCATTTATTTTCAGTCATTGAGTTGCTGAATTAGTATTATGAGTGGATTTAACTCAAAAGCTTCCTTACATATTTGGCTTTACAGACGGAACGAATTTCAGTATGCACTGACTTGCTACACTAAGGCTGTAGAGATCCTAATGAAGAAGTCCGAGGAGCCAGTGACACCTTCTTCCGAATCGTTCCCCCCATGCACCCCTGCTCAGCTCCTGGACCTAGAAATAAAACTAAGGAATAACGTTGCTGCTACCCAACTTAAGGTACGACATGCGTTGACTTTTCCATACACATAATTATGCGCATTTGCTTGCCCCGCTATTTTAGCACATTTAACTGAACCATTTTCCTTTGTTTTGTTACAGCTTGAGGCTTTTGCGGCCGCTGCCAAAACTTGCGATATTGTCCTTCACCTGGACCCCACCAATCGTAAAGCCCTCTATCGCAAGGGCCAGGCAAGTTCTCCCATTGCCACACTTTTGTTAGCATTTACCGGAAAACTGTAGTCAGGAATTTACACTCTTAGTACCGAAAGAGAATGTGCTTGCTTTAAGAAATCCCCGCCTGGTTTTGAGATGCAAAGTATTCCAAATAATTTATGGTACGTATGAACACATAGGTGTCCATCTCAATATTTCGTATCCATACTAAGTCATGAATCAAGCTTTAGCACTGGTCCAAGTCCTTTAATATCTGCTCTCTGAGCAATCTTCAGTGAACATCATCAAAACGAGAATTAATAAGTCGTCATAACTGTATTTCATGTGCTTCCCGTTGATGATTGCATCTCCCCTCAAGTTAAAATATTATTCATTTCAACACTTGATTTCCAAGTTAAAATTTATTATTTTTGTTCTTAACTCATGCTGTATTATCTGGACGCTTCTCTAGACTATATATCTTAAGGTGTTCGTTGATGAATTCGCTAATTATCCACGCTGTAGAAGTGACTAGTTGGGACCTCCATGTCAGTCGCTGCACGGCTTCCGAGGCTAAAGCTTTTACACCCTCGGTGTTAAGGCTACCGGGAAAGGTGTGGTCGAGTCATACACTACAGATGACAAAGTCAATTTGTGGCCTCTCCGAAACGGTAGAAACCCCTACAGTGTAGCACACTCAATCGTGGTGTACAGAATTTTCAACCAGCCACTTGACCATCGTGGACTTGGGTCGTTAAGTAAGTCACCATCGGCCAGGATG